CAAACTATAAAATCATAGACTTTCTAAAGAGATCAACGGAACAAACTATAAAATCATAGACTTTCTAAAGAGATCACCGGAACAAACTATAAAATCATAGACTTTCTAAAGAGATCACCGGAACAAACTATAAAATCATATACTTTCTAAAGAGATCACCGGAACAAACTATAAAATCATAGACTTTCTAAAGAGATCAACGGAACAAACTATAAAATCATAGACTTTCTAAAGAGATCAACGGAACAAATGATAAAACTAAAGACTTTCTTAAGACATCAACGGAACAAACTATAAAATCATAGACTTTCTAAAGACATCAACGGAACAAATTATAAAATCATAGACTTTCTAAAGACATCAACGGAACAAACTATAAAATCATAGACTTTCTAAAGAGATCAACGGAACAAATGATAAAACTAAAGACTTTCTTAAGACATCAACGGAACAAACTATAAAATCATAGACTTTCTAAAGAGATCAACGGAACAAACTATAAAATCATAGACTTTCTAAAGAGATCAACGGAACAAACTATAAAATCATAGACTTTCTAAAGAGATCAACGGAACAAATGATAAAACTAAAGACTTTCTTAAGACATCAACGGAACAAACTATAAAATCATAGACTTTCTAAAGACATCAACGGAACAAACTATAAAATCATAGACTTTCTAAAGACATCAACGGAACAAACTATAAAATCATAGACTTTCTAAAGAGATCAACGGAACAAATGATAAAACTAAAGACTTTCTTAAGACATCAACGGAACAAACTATAAAATCATAGACTTTCTAAAGACATCAACGGAACAAACTATAAAATCATAGACTTTCTAAAGACATCAACGGAACAAACTATAAAATCATAGACTTTCTAAAGACATCAACGGAACAAATGATAAAATCATAGACTTTCTAAAGAGATCAACGGAACAAACTAAAAAATCATAGACTTTCTAAAGACATCAACGGAACAAATGATAAAATCATAGACTTTCTAAAAACATCAACGGAACAAACTATAAAATCATAGAATTTCTAAAGAGATCAACGGAACAAACTATAAAATCATAGACTTTCTAAAGACATCAACGGAACAAATGATAAAATCATAGACTTTCTAAAGAGATCAACGGAACAAATGATAAAACTAAAGACTTTCTTAAGAGATCAAATTGTAATCGGATACTCTAAAGCTTGAACTCAGCGATTCACTAAAGGATTCACTAGCCTAAATCTCATATACAACAACCTAATACAAATCTACTGTTACACATTTTTTATATTTCTAAAGTAAAAGTAAATTATTGTTCTGCTAAATGCCATATTTTGTAATTATGCTTAAACATCTTTCAGGTATTTTATAATTTTATTTTTTTTAAAATTTCGATTGTAGTACAATTCTTTGTTAAAACATTTTATCGTAAAACCAAAGTAATTTTTCAAAACATAATTTTACCGTAAAACCATACTTTTTTTCAAAACATTGTTTTACTGTAAATCAAATTATTGTTCAAAACATCATTTTACCGTAAAACACTAAATATTTAAGCGTGAAGTCTACGCTGAAAAATATACACTGGCATTAATACATTTTCAAAGTAAACCAAAATTGGATTTTCAAAATTTATAAGTCCAAAATTTTAAATATTGAAAGTAGCGCTTGTGTGATGGTTTGTCGAGAAATTTTTTTTACGTTAAGATTTTGTTTGTAGCGTATGGTGTATTTTTGGATGTAGTATCTGGTCAATTGTTGGATGTAGTATCTGGTCAATTGTTGGATGTAGTATCTGGTCAATTGTTGGATGTATTTTCTGTTCAATTGTTGGATGTAGTATCTGGTCAATTGTTGGATGTAGTATCTGGTCAATTGTTGGATGTAGTATCTGGTCAATTGTTGGATGTAGTATCTGGTCAATTGTTGGATGTAGTATCTGTTCAATTGTTGGATGTAGTATCTGGTCAATTGTTGGATGTAGTATCTGGTCAATTGTTGGATGTAGTATCTGGTCAATTGTTGGATGTAGTATCTGGTCAATTGTTGAATGTAGTATCTGGTCAATTGTTGGATGTAGTATCTGGTCAATTGTTGGATGTAGTATCTGGTCAATTGTTGGATGTAGTATCTGGTCAATTGTTGAATGTAGTATCTGGTCAATTGTTGGATGTAGTATCTGGTCAATTGTTGGATGTAGTATCTGGTCAATTGTTGGATGCAGTATCTGGTCAATTGTTGAATGTAGTATCTGGTCAATTGTTGGATGTAGTATCTGGTCAATTGTTGGATGTAGTATCTGGTCAATTGTTGGATGTAGTATCTGGTCAATTGTTGGATGTAGTATCTGGTCAATTGTTGGATGTAGTATCTGGTCAATTGTTGAATGTAGTATCTGGTCAATTGTTGGATGTAGTATCTGGTCAATTGTTGGATGTAGTATCTGGTCAATTGTTGGATGTAGTATCTGGTCAATTGTTGAATGTAGTATCTGGTCAATTGTTGGATGTAGTATCTGGTCAATTGTTGGATGTAGTATCTGGTCAATTGTTGGATGCAGTATCTGGTCAATTGTTGAATGTAGTATCTGGTCAATTGTTGGATGTAGTATCTGGTCAATTGTTGGATGTAGTGGCTGGTCAATTGTTGGATGTAGTACCTGGTCAATTGTTGGATGTAGTATCTGGTCAATTGTTGGATGTAGTGGCTGGTCAATTGTTGGATGCAGTATCTGGTCAATTGTTGGATGCAGTATCTGGTCAATTGTTGGATGTAGTGGCTGGTCAATTGTTGAATGTAGTATCTGGTCAATTGTTGGATGTAGTATCTGGTCAATTGTTGGATGTAGTGGCTGGTCAATTGTTGGATGTAGTACCTGGTCAATTGTTGGATGTAGTATCTGGTCAATTGTTGGATGTAGTGGCTGGTCAATTGTTGGATGTAGTGGCTGGTCAATTGTTGGATGTACCAGGATATGGCTGCAGGACGATTGGATTTTTCTCTCACGCGTTTAAATCTGTTGTGTTGATTTCCTTTACTGTCTTGTACCGTGTCATGTTGTATGTGTTGTGTGTATTGTGTGCAGAGTGATACAAATGGTTGTGTATGTCGTCGTAGTTCTTTTACGTCCCGCTTTTCAAAGTTGTATACTCCGTGAACCTGGTAAGTAAAAAAAAATACGAGAGTGTAAAATTCGAGGGTTTAAAATACGAGAGTTAAAAGTACAAAAGTTTGAAATATGAGAGTTTAAAATACGAGAGTTTAAAATACAAAAGTTTGAAATATGAGAGTTTAAAATACGAGAGTTTAAAATACAAAAGTTTGAAATATGAGAGTTTAAAATACGAGAGTTTAAAATACGAGAGTTTAAAATACTAAAGTTTGAAATATGAGAGTTTAAAATACGAGCGTTTAAAATACAAAAGTTTGAAATATGAGAGTTTAAAATACGAGAGTTTAAAATACAAAAGTTAGAAACATGAGAGTTTAAAATACGAGAGTTTAAAATACAAAAGTTTGAAATACGAGAGTTTAAAATACGAGAGTTTAAAATACAAATGTTTGAAATATGAGAGTTCAAAATACGAGAGTTTAAAATACAAAAGTTTGAAATATGAGAGTTTAAAATACGAGAGTTTAAAATACTAAAGTTTGAATAATGAGAGTTTAAAATACGAGAGTTTAAAATACAAGAGTTTGAAATATGGGAGTTTAAAATACGAGAGGTTAAAATACAAAAGTTTGAAATATGAGAGTTTAAAATACGAGAGTTTAAAATACAAAAGTTTAAAATATGAAAGTTTAAAATACAAGTTTAAAATACAAAAGTTTGAAATATGAGAGTTTAAAATACGGGAGTTTAAAATACGAGAGTTTGAAAAACGAGAGTTCAAAACATTATAGTCATGTTAACAGTTGCTTTCTGTTACTAAACTATGAAATATTTTTAAGTAGATTCCACCAATTGTTGAAACTAAAATAGTTGACATATAAAAAGAATTAATCTTCAAATAGTAAACCTGAAATCTGAAAGTTGGTTTAGAATATTAGTTACCAAAAAAAGTTTACCTAATTTTCTTCCGCTACTTTCAACGCCGTTTCCATAGCTAAATTTACTCAAGTCTCACCCCCCCCCCTTTTCTGGCGGTCACGTGGATCTGGGGAAAGAAACATGTTTACAGTTTGTGATTTCAATAGAACAACTACAATATGTTACTTGGTGTATTAATTTAAACAAACTTCACTTCTACCTAAAAGAATCTCAATCAAGTTAACTTTTACCAAATAATCACAAAGACTTTACTTCTACCAAATAATCTCACAAAACTTTTCTCTACCTAAATAATCTCACCAAACTTTACCTACCACTTACACATTATAATTAGGCCCATAAATAACTCTAATACGTCAAGAATCAAACAACGAGTTACCTACCCTTTTATCGGCCAAGCATGTTCTAATTGATTCCTTTCTCCAACCTAAGGTTTATCTTTTGTTTACATTTGATATCTCACTCTGTCGTAAGCTTTTTGGTTCCCTCTTTATCACCGAGTATTTATACACCGGGTTTTTAGTCACGTGATTTCCAAGTTTAGCACATTTTTTTCCCGGAAGTAAAATATGACTCAAAGTTTCAAAGACTCAAAGGAAACGAAACTCGGTCATTGAGACGTGAACAATTTTAAAAGGGGGAGATAAGGGTGTAGGGGGGGGGGGAGTGCTAAAATTGATTCATATGAAAATGTTGAAGATTGCTTTAGGGGGGAGTTTTGAACGATGTGAGGCATAGTTTATAGGATAGGAAAGTGGAACCTCGGTGTTATTTATTTCACGATAAAAACACTGATTAAAAACACAGATGAAAACACTGACTAGTACAATAAAAGTTATGTCCCATGCCCATGTCTAAGTTTAAAATAGTAAGAAGTCAATTTGGTAAGAAATTCTACAAAGACACACAACTTAGATACTTTATATAATGTCAAAACTCAAGAATCAAAAGTTCATCTTTATTCTATTATGTATATGTTAGTGTACATCAAATGAAACTTTAATCTGATTCTGTATGTTTGTGTACATCGAACTCATTTTAAATCTAATTCCATTGCGGCTGTGTACATCCAACTCAACTTGAACCTGACTTTTTATGTTTATGTACATTAGTTCACGAGGGTTGAACTCTAGGGTTGAACTCCATAGTTGAACTCTAGACTTGAACTCTATAGTTGAACTCTATAGTTGAACTCTATAGTTGAACTATAGTTGAACTATAGACTTGAACTCTATAGTTGAACTATAGTTGAACTATAGACTTGAACTCTATAGTTGAATGCCGTCATGTAAGCCAGCAAATCTTCTGCCACTATTTTCATCTTAGCTGTGTTGTGTTCTGACTTGATGCATGTGGGATCACCTGAAATGTACACATTTCTAAAGTAACTTCACATCTTTATGCAATGAACACATCTCTAAAGTAGCTACACATCTTTATACAAGGTACACATTTCTAAAGTAACTTCACATCTTAATATAATGTACACGTTTCTAAAGTAACTACACATCTTTATACAATGTACACATTTCTAAAGTAACTACACATCTTTATATAATGTACACGTTTCTAAAGTAACTACATATCTTTCTACAATGTACACATCTCTAAATGATGTATAAGAAGTGCAAGAAATGAAGTTTACGGATATGATGGATAGCAGACTTACTATCTGTAGGAAGGGGCAGAGTTACCTCCCCACTGCTGGTCACCTCTTTAACAGCCTGTATATAAGTTGACCAGCCAAGTTCTAGACACAGGCTAAATGGGTTTGGTAGAGTCAGTTGTATTAACAGGGAGCCCTAAAAGAGAAATTTTTAAAAAACCTCAAAAAAAACTACAAATACACTTGTTATAAAATGTAACAAATTCGGCGAACAAACATTACGAATAATATCTTAATTACCCTGAATAAAAAAAATAATATATTTAAAAAGTTTACATTCATGTACACAACATGTACCTCATGTACACAACATGTACCTCATGTACACAACATGTACCTCATGTACACAACATGTACCTCATGTACACAACACAGACAACACAAAACTTACTGTTGGATAGTGCCAGTCAATCTCCCCAGCAGCACAAGTGGTAGAAATGTTCAACACGACATTGTCTCTGTAATGGACATATTCAACACGACATTGTCTCTGTAATGGACATATTCAACACGACATTGTCTCTGTAATGGACATATTCAACACATTGTCTCTGTAATGGACATATTCGAGACGACATTGTCTCTGTAATGGACAAATTCAACACGACATTGTCTCTGTAATGGACATATTCAACACGAAATTGTCTCTGTAATGGACATATTCAAGACGACATTGTCTCTGTAATGGACATATTCAACACGACATTGTCTCTGTAATGGACATATTCAACACGACATTGTCTCTGTAATGGACATAGTCAACACGACATTGTCTCTGTAATGGACATATTCAACACATTGTCTCTGTAATGGACATATTCGAGACGACATTGTCTCTGTAATGGACAAATTCAACACGACATTGTTTCTGTAATGGACATATTCAACTCGAAATTGTCTCTGTAATGGACATATTCAACACGACATTGTCTCTGTAATTGACATATTCAACACGACATTGTCTCTGTAATGGACATATTCAACACATTGTCTCTGTAATGGACATATTCAACACATTGTCTCTGTAATAGACATATTCAAGACGACATTGTCTCTGTAATGGACATATTCAACACATTGTCTCTGTAATAAACATATTCAACACGACATTGTCTCTGTAATGGACATATTCAACACGACATTGTCTCTGTAATGGACATATTCAACACATTGTCTCTGTAATAAACATATTCAACACGACATTGTCTCTGTAATGGACATATTCAACACGACATTGTCTCTGTAATGGACATATTCAACACATTGTCTCTGTAATGGGCATATTCAACACGACATTGTCTCTGTAATGGACATATTCAACACGACATTGTCTCTGTAATGGACATATTCAACACATTGTCTCTGTAATGGGCATATTCCACACGACATTGTCTCTGTAATGGACATATTCAACACGACATTGTCTCTGTAATGGACATATTCAAGACGACATTGTCTCTGTAATGGACATATTCAACACGACATTGTCTCTGTAATGGACATATTCAACACGACATTGTCTCTGTAATGGACATAGTCAACACGACAGTGTCTCTGTAATGGACATATTCAACACATTGTCTCTGTAATGGACATATTCGAGACGACATTGTCTCTGTAATGGACAAATTCAACACGACATTGTTTCTGTAATGGACATATTCAACACGAAATTGTCTCTGTAATGGACATATTCAACACGACATTGTCTCTGTAATTGACATATTCAACACGACATTGTCTCTGTAATGGACATATTCAACACATTGTCTCTGTAATGGACATATTCAACACGACATTGTCCCTGTAATGGACATATTCAACACGACACTGTCTCTGTAATTGACATATTCAACACGACATTGTCTCTGTAATGGACATATTCAACACGACATTGTCTCTGTAATGGACATATTCAACACATTGTCTCTGTAATAGACATATTCAAGACGACATTGTCTCTGTAATGGACATATTCAACACATTGTCTCTGTAATAAACATATTCAACACGACATTGTCTCTGTAATGGACATATTCAACACGACATTGTCTCTGTAATGGACATATTCAACACATTGTCTCTGTAATGGGCATATTCAACACGACATTGTCTCTGTAATGGACATATTCAACACGACATTGTCTCTGTAATGGAAATATTCAACACATTGTCTCTGTAATGGGCATATTCAACACGACATTGTCTCTGTAATGGACATATTCAACACGACATTGTCTCTGTAATGGACATATTCAACACGAAATTGTCTCTGTAATGGACATATTCAACACGACATTGTCCCTGTAATGGACATATTCAACACGACACTGTCTCTGTAATTGACATATTCAACACGACATTGTCTCTGTAATGGACATATTCAACACGACATTGTCTCTGTAATGGACATATTCAACACGACATTGTCTCTGTAATGGACATATTCAACACATTGTCTCTGTAATGGACATATTCAACACATTGTCTCTGTAATGGACATATTCAACACGACATTGTCTCTGTAATGGACATATTCAACACATTGTCTCTGTAATGGACATATTCAACACGAAATTGTCTCTGTAACGGACATATTCGAGACCACATTGTCTCTGTAATGGACAAATTCAACACGACATTGTCTCTGTAATGGACATATTCAACACGACATTGTCTCTGTAATGGACATATTCAACACGACATTGTCTCTGTAATGGACATATTCAACACATTGTCTCTGTAATGGACATATTCAACACGACATTGTCCCTGTAATGGACATATTCAACACGACATTGTCTCTGTAATGGACATATTCAACACATTGTCTCTGTAATGGACATATTCAAGACGACATTGTCTCTGTAATGGACATATTCAACACATTGTCTCTGTAATGGACATATTCAACACGACATTGTCTCTGTAATGGACATATTCAACACGACATTGTCTCTGTAATGGAAATATTCAACACATTGTCTCTGTAATGGACATATTCAACACATTGTCTCTGTAATGGACATATTCAACACGACATTGTCTCTGTAATGGACATATTCAAGACGACATTGTCTCTGTAATGGACATATTCAGCACGACATTGTCTCTGTAATGGACATATTGAACACGACATTGTCTCTGTAATGGACATATTCAACACATTGTCTCTGTAATGGACATATTCAACACGACATTGTCTCTGTAATGGACATATTCAACACGACATTGTCTCTGTAATGGACATATTCAACACATTGTCTCTGTAATGGACATATTCAACACGACATTGTCTCTGTAATGGACATAGTCAACACGACATTGTCTCTGTAATGGACATATTCAACACATTGTCTCTGTAATGGACATATTCGAGACGACATTGTCTCTGTAATGGACAAACTCAACACGACATTGTTTCTGTAATGGACATATTCAACACGAAATTGTCTCTGTAATGGACATATTCAACACGACATTGTCTCTGTAATTGACATATTCAACACGACATTGTCTCTGTAATGGACATATTCAACACATTGTCTCTGTAATGGACATATTCAACACGACATTGTCCCTGTAATGGACATATTCAACACGACACTGTCTCTGTAATTGACATATTCAACACGACATTGTCTCTGTAATGGACATATTCAACACGACATTGTCTCTGTAATGGACATATTCAACACATTGTCTCTGTAATAGACATATTCAAGACGACATTGTCTCTGTAATGGACATATTCAACACATTGTCTCTGTAATAAACATATTCAACACGACATTGTCTCTGTCATGGACATATTCAACACGACATTGTCTCTGTAATGGACATATTCAACACATTGTCTCTGTAATGGGCATATTCAACACATTGTCTCTGTAATAAACATATTCAACACGACATTGACTCTGTAATTGACATATTCAACACGACATTGTCTCTGTAATGGACATATTCAACACATTGTCTCTGTAACGGACATATTCGAGACCACATTGTCTCTGTAATGGACAAATTCAACACGACATTGTCTCTGTAATGGACATATTCAACACGACATTGTCTCTGTAATAGACATATTCAAGACGACATTGTCTCTGTAATGGACATATTCAACACATTGTCTCTGTAATAAACATATTCAACACGACATTGTCTCTGTCATGGACATATTCAACACGACATTGTCTCTGTAATGGACATATTCAACACATTGTCTCTGTAATGGGCATATTCAACACATTGTCTCTGTAATAAACATATTCAACACGACATTGACTCTGTAATTGACATATTCAACACGACATTGTCTCTGTAATGGACATATTCAACACATTGTCTCTGTAATGGACATATTCAACACGACATTGTCCCTGTAATGGACATATTCAACACGACACTGTCTCTGTAATGGACATATTCAACACGACATTGTCTCTGTAATTGACATATTCAACACGACATTGTCTCTGTAATGGACATATTCAACACATTGTCTCTGTAATAGACATATTCAAGACGACATTGTCTCTGTAATGGACATATTCAACACATTGTCTCTGTAATAAACATATTCAACACGACATTGTCTCTGTCATGGACATATTCAACACGACATTGTCTCTGTAATGGACATATTCAACACATTGTCTCTGTAATGGGCATATTCAACACATTGTCTCTGTAATAAACATATTCAACACGACATTGACTCTGTAATTGACATATTCAACACGACATTGTCTCTGTAATGGACATATTCAACACATTGTCTCTGTAACGGACATATTCGAGACCACATTGTCTCTGTAATGGACAAATTCAACACGACATTGTCTCTGTAATGGACATATTCAACACGACATTGTCTCTGTAATAGACATATTCAAGACGACATTGTCTCTGTAATGGACATATTCAACACATTGTCTCTGTAATAAACATATTCAACACGACATTGTCTCTGTAATGGACATATTCAACACGACATTGTCTCTGTAATGGACATATTCAACACATTGTCTCTGTAATGGGCATATTCAACACGACATTGTCTCTGTAATGGACATATTCAACACGACATTGTCTCTGTAATGGAAATATTCAACACATTGTCTCTGTAATGGGCATATTCAACACGACATTGTCTCTGTAATGGACATATTCAACACGACATTGTCTCTGTAATGGACATATTCAACACGAAATTGTCTCTGTAATGGACATATTCAACACGACATTGTCCCTGTAATGGACATATTCAACACGACACTGTCTCTGTAATTGACATATTCAACACGACATTGTCTCTGTAATGGACATATTCAACACGACATTGTCTCTGTAATGGACATATTCAACACGACATTGTCTCTGTAATGGACATATTCAACACATTGTCTCTGTAATGGACATATTCAACACATTGTCTCTGTAATGGACATAT